CCTTTGTGGCCTGTAGGCACCAGGCTAGAGGTGAGGCCAACTTCCGCTCATCCATCCCCACACCCCCCCTGTCACCCAACCCCCAAACCGCCATTGACCCCGTCACCCAACCCCCAAACCGCCACTCACCCCGTCACCCAACCCCCAAACCATCACTCACCCCGTCACCCAACCCCCAAACCGCCACTCACCCCGTCACCCAACCTCCAAACCGCCCCTCACCCCGTCACCCAACCCCCAAACCGCCATTGACCCCGTCACCCAACCCCCAAACCATCACTCACCCCGTCACCCAACCCCCAAACCGCCACTCACCCCGTCACCCAACCCCCAAACCGCCATTGACCCCGTCACCCAACCCCCAAACCGCCACTCACCCCGTCACCCAACCCCCAAACCGCCATTGACCCCGTCACCCAACCCCCAAACCGCCACTCACCCCGTCACCCAACCCCCAAACCGCCATTGACCCCGTCACCCAACCCCCAAACCGCCACTCACCCCGTCACCCAACCCCCAAACCGCCATTGACCCCGTCACCCAACCCCCAAACCGCCACTCACCCCGTCACCCAACCCCCAAACCGCCATTGACCCCGTCACCCAACCCCCAAACCGCCACTCACCCCGTCACCCAACCCCCAAACCGCCATTGACCCCGTCACCCAACCCCCAAACCGCCACTCACCCCGTCACCCAACCCCCAAACCGCCATTGACCCCGTCACCCAACCCCCAAACCGCCACTCACCCCGTCACCCAACCCCCAAACCGCCATTGACCCCGTCACCCAACCCCCAAACCGCCACTCACCCCGTCACCCAACCCCCAAACCGCCATTGACCCCGTCACCCAACCCCCAAACCGCCACTCACCCCGTCACCCAACCCCCAAACCGCCATTGACCCCGTCACCCAACCCCCAAACCGCCACTCACCCCGTCACCCAACCCCCAAACCGCCATTGACCCCGTCACCCAACCCCCAAACCGCCACTCACCCCGTCACCCAACCCCCAAACCGCCATTGACCCCGTCACCCAACCCCCAAACCGCCACTCACCCCGTCACCCAACCCCCAAACCGCCATTGACCCCGTCACCCAACCCCCAAACCGCCACTCACCCCGTCACCCAACCCCCAAACCGCCATTGACCCCGTCACCCAACCCCCAAACCGCCACTCACCCCGTCACCCAACCCCCAAACCGCCATTGACCCCGTCACCCAACCCCCAAACCGCCACTCACCCCGTCACCCAACCCCCAAACCGCCATTGACCCCGTCACCCAACCCCCAAACCGCCACTCACCCCGTCACC